CACTGATGTTTGTCGGTGAGACGATACCCGGACAGGGGAGGAGTCACGGAGACAGAAACCTGTCAATCAATCAGTCAAGTGAATGTGATATTAATTGATATGTTAAAATAAGTGTAATTTAATGAATAAATTGATTCAACAATAAATGATTTATATTACATGTCTTCATTGCATTGTGTTGGTCTACTATTGCAATACAGGACCAGCTATGGCTGTGTCAAAGAACAGAATACATAGTCCTGTGGAGTGCCCTGACCAGGAATCGAACCCAGGTCTCGAGCGCGATAATCAACTGGCTCTATCAACTTAGCCAAAGAAGCCTTCTCCGTCAGCCGAGTGACAGAGACCGTATTTAACACTATATACAAGCCACACCGACCTGCCAGCTGTGTGACAGAGACCGTATTTAACACTATATACAAGTCACACTGACCTGCCAGCTGTGTGACAGAGACCGTATTTAACACTATATACAAGCCACACTGACCTGCCAGCTGTGTGACAGAGACAGTATTTAACACTATATACAAGTCACACAGACCTGCCGGCTGTGTGACAGAGACAGTATTTAACACTATATACAAGCCACACAGACCTGCCGGCTGTGTGACAGAGACCGTATCTAACACTATATACAAGCCACACCGACCTACCAGCCGAGTGACAGAGACCGTATTTAACACTATATACAAGCCACACCGACCTACCAGCCGAGTGACAGAGACCGTATTTAACACTATATACAAGCCACAACGACCCGCCAGCTGTGTGACAGAGACCATATTTAACACTATATACAAGTCACACCGACCCGCTCCTATTATGGCCGCATTGGGTATTTAACATTATATACAAGTCACACAAACCTGCCAGCTTGGTGACAGAGACCGTATTTAACACTATATACAAGCCACACCGACCTACCAGCTTTAGGTTTTAATTTCTGAACCATATATTGAGGATACTTTTTTCATTTCCTGCACAAATCTATATAATGTTCCTACAACAGATATCATGAGACCTTTGATATAAACATATCAGCTAAAAACTACAGGTGTAAATGTTCCTACAGTGACCAATTGTTTATGACCTGATGACATATCCATCCCAGGATGCAATAGTCTATCGTAAACTTCCGCCTTGTCTTCTAGCGATAGCAGTAAAGTAACCACGAAAGTCAAGACGATATTGCTGGGATTTATATTAAAAATTATGATTGAAAAATCTACAGGAATATAATTCTTATCACAATTTTCAGATCATCCTGTATATGATAACAAGTGACGGTCCTACACAATCTATTCTAGTCATAAACTCGTGGTGGGCAGGTACTTGTAAAAAACAATATTGGTCGTCTACAAATTTTGATAACCACGGTTCTCAAAGTGATTTAAATTGATGTATAAAGTGTGTACGATACACAAATAATGCAGACTTATTTTTATTTCCCTGATATATTTTATTTTTCATCCACATATAAGCCGTGTATGTCCGACCATTGAGGAAAAATGTTGTGGTTTATAGACCAGAAAATACCTCATAACAAAAATTTCACCATCACAGCCATCCATATTAAGCTAGACTAATTAGGCTTCACCAATTAGAACAAAAAAATTGGTACTTAGCTACCAGATTACTTACATAGCCATTTTGTTTCATTTTGCTATGGTGCTGGCCATAAACTTTAAATATACTTAAAGACTTTGAAAGAAGCTGTGGTTTTATAATAACACATGATATGTTTTGATAACTATATGACATCTGATATTCTGCCAGATATCCAGTTTGACAACTCCACCATGTGCAGTTGAAACTCTCAAGTTTACCCTTGTGATGTCATTTTTCTTTCAATATGCAGATTTGGTAGGTTTGAATGAAGCAGAGAACTCCGCAATAAAGTTACCGTGTACAGTAAACAACAACGCCTCGTTCGAGTAACCTGTGCTGTTGACGCCCTTTTTGAGTAATGTGTTCTGTTAACACCATGCTACAGATATAATTATAATGATAGCAACTCTGTACATCGATGATTATGAAACCTGTCAAAGTAGTACACTACATCACCTGTCAAAATAGTAAGTAAAATTGTTTTCATACAAGGAAACTTACCAACTTGCATGTCTTCAACCTTAACTTAAGTCTCCATCTAGAAACTCTACTGACCCTGGCTGGTGGATCGGTTGATACTGGGAAGGTTCTGAGGTCAAATGACATAATACGAGTGAAAATTTTCTGTTTTGTTGAAGTATGGGCAAAATATAGCGAACTCTAGTGTTTCAGCTGAACAAATCCCTCATGTTCTGGCCACAACAACATGGTGTCTGAGAAAAGGCAGATCATCACACCAAGGTTGTATTGGTTCTTAAGTGGTAATTCATTGATAATGTTTTCCTTTAGATGGATAACACTTACAGAGGAACTAGTTCAAATATTTATCAAATCAAACTGGAGTGTTACATAACTTTACTTGGGTAGCCTGACTCCCGGAATACATGAAATATATATGAAAATATGTTCTTCATACAGCAAAATGGTATCAATATTTACGGAAGCCAGGTAACTGTACCACAATTTACTACGAATTTGAATCCCCAATATATGTGACTTTTGCTAAGAAATCAGAGAGAACAATTTATGTGAGAGAACAATTTATGTATTTATATAGATATAGTAAAAAGTAACTAATCTGCGAAATATTGTAGAAGATAATGAGCATTGGTATTAATATTACAGAGGTTAAAATTCACTTTTCAATTCAGGAATATTGACTATAACTATAATTTTGTAAATGCAGTACCTGTATCCATCTTTGAAGCCCAAGGAACGAAAGATTAAAAGATCCCGCCCTCCCTACTGTCCTGTGAGCCATTATGACAAAGACATAGAGTGATCTCCCTTCCATTTCCTTTATGGTGCTCACTGATGACTGACATTTTACAGATGAGTTCTGTACTACCTTTGTTTTTCAGTCGTTCAGATTGTTCCTGAGGCACGATTTTGTTCAAATGGCATTATTTCTGCCAATCTGCCGTTTATTTAAAAAGATTTTTATTGTTTTATTGTTATTTTGCCAATTTTCAGCCTTTTTCGTCCTCCTGTGCCAATTTCCAGCCATTTTCCTCCTCCATGTGTCCTGAGTGGTGTGTCGTACGGTTTTTGTCAGCCTTATTTTTGGCCTTTTGTTACTGTGGTTTACGTTGCTTTTCGTCGTTTCTGTTGATTTTATTCAAAACTTCACTGTTTTATCTTTTCGCAAACTTACACCATTTTTTATTTGTTGTGTGAAGTATATCTTGGGCAGCATCGCGACTGGGTTCAGACCATGGGTGTTTCCATTTCTTTGGGGAGGGTGACCCTCATGATGCTTGTCCCCTTTGTCATCCCTGTAATGAATCTGCTGTGTGAACTATGGTTCCACTTTATGAAGTCCCGTCCTTTTGTCTCCTTTCCTTCTCTGCCTGACTGCCCTATAAGGCTTCCCTTAAGGTATTCAAGGAAGCGAAATCACTCTATGTCTCTGTCATAATGGCTCATGGGACTGTAGGGAAGGCGGGATTTTTTTTTTATCTTTTGTTTTTGCATAAAGTTATGGTAAGTATTACATCATGAAAATTGTTTTTTCTTGAAAAAACCCAACTTTGTAAACATGCCTCCGTTTGGAATGCCCACTATCGAATTCACATCTTTTTAAAGATCCTAAGGTGAAAAATTCTTTAGATATATCCCTGAGAGGTCAGTAGTTACTATGAATATGTCTATTTATCTTATTTACAGTATAAAACCAGCCCTAGAAAGACTAAACACATACATATTACCTCTGATATGAATCCTAGAAAAGGGAGTATCATATATCTTAATCACACTTTAAACTGTAAATATGTCTGTAACCCTGGTAAAATACTAGCCGCAATATACCACTCTGCTAGAGAGAACTTCTCTTTAGCTCGATTGGTTGAGCGTCAGCCTAGTAATCCAGAGGTCCCGGGTTTGATTCCTAGCGGAGGCATTGAGATGAAAAATGATCTCTGTTACATGCCTACTACACCGGTACAATTTTTCTTTTTATGTAGATTGGTCTCATGTTAGGTTATTTTTTCATTTTTTGTGTGTGGTCTTTGGAATTTGGTATAACATCAGTTTGTATTTTTGAAACGGGACCCCACTTTTTTTAAATTTTTATTTTTCAGATATTCCAGTAAAGCGTTTCTTTGCAGATACCAGTCAGTTGAAGTATGTTTTAATTTTATCTCTGAATAATCATCAAGTGGAAATTTTCTCAGAAACTTTCTGAATCCAGTTAATTTGCCAAATGATGCGTATACTGGCACATTAAGAGCTCCATTTAGTCTTTAAATGAGGACCAGTTCAATTGATGCACATGATACGTCATCATTTAACCACTCCATACATAATCCGACAGCTAAACATAGAAACTCATTCAAGTTGTGAGATCCATCCGTCTTTTTAACTTCCAGTTAAGTTCACTAACTACTGCTTTCATTTCAGCAAATCATTTTCAGTATTTGGCAATGATAGCTACAGGTCGTGTTGGACAAGGAGTTGCTTAATTCATGTGATTGCTATGGCAGGTTTGACTGATTATGTTCAAAGTAAACAAAAGATTATATCTAAAATGTGCTAAAGTACAACATAGCACATCATCATTTTCTTGACAAGTTAGCACAATGTTGAATAAGTGCTTTTAAAGTGATTGCTGTAAAAACAAGATATGTAAACTGCCATTAGCACAATGATATTTTAGCACAACATTTCCACACAGAAAGTGTTAAACTTAGTTGAACACTAAAATAGCAGTATATAAAAAAAAATCTGTACCTTAACTCCATGAACAGGTTATTCAGCTAATATTAGGTCAAATGAAGCCACTACTGTTAGTTTACTTATTATGCAGGATTGTCTAAACCAATCAAAAAAGTCTTTGTCCAGAGACTAAATGACAGATTGTTTTCAAACTAGCTCATTTTTTACAAGGTACCTACCTCAACCAAATCAAAGCTGTGTGAATATAAACAGAAGTTCAACTCCAACACTGCAAATAAATCCTCTTAGATCAAGTTATTACAGAAACTTGAAGGACAGAGCGGGGTACAGTTTACCACTGTAAAAAGATCCCAGTGTACAACTGATGGCAAGGCCAGATGGACCCACTACAGCAGGCTCGGCACCCCACAGAAAGTTCAACTAGAGTAACAGGGAGCCCTCTGGCTTGGTTGTCATGGTAACCTGGCTCTTCCACTACTCTACCCACTCCCTCTAGATGATAAAGAAAACTTTCTGATAGTAACATGTATGTAGTTATGTAGTAATGCAGAAAATGTGTTATCTATCTTAGAACTTCTCATTCTTCCTGTAGAGGACTCGCTGTACCAACTCCAGGGATAAGGTTATCAGTGTCAAAGTCACAGATGTTTACAATCAATTAAAACCTAGATACTACTACTTATGTCCATTCCAGTACACAACACACAAAAATTACACTTTTTTATTAGGTTGGTTGTATGATTACTTAAAACATATCACCATGTAATCTGAACAGTTGCCATGGATGTTTTCTAGGTCATGGAAATGTTTAACATTAAAGTGAAAACACCAAACAGCAGATTGCTACTGCTTTCTAAACCAGGCTAAATGAAACCACACATTTTTTTTTTATAAATTTGAATGTTTCATTCTTTGCAAGTTATGTAAGCTTCAGACTGAAAAAAAACTTTGATTCATTTTTCTTGTTTTTTTATACAAAATTCCAGGTCTTTTTTTTGTTTTTTTTTTATGAAAACAATTTGAGAAAAAGAGATACCTTGATGTTGTAGATTTTTTTCATGATAACACATACAAAATCTGCTTTCTAGTTACCCCAGCTGTATAAATGGGTATCACCCAATTTTTTTTCAGTGTAAAATTGTATAAAAAAAAATAGACCATTTGAAAATACATGTATTACTTCAAAAGACTGCAGGCATAATCTTGTAGTTTTTTCATTAGCAAAAAGTGTGCCAGTTGCTTCTTGTCACTGACCAGCTGAGAAGAGAGGAGTAGGAATGAGGTGAATAGAATAACTGAGGTATACAGGTTTAGGGGGGGGGGGAGGGGGTGGTGATGGGGGGGTGGGTGGGGGGGGGGATAGGAGAGAAAGGATGGGGGTGGTCTGGAAGAGAATGTAACCAAGGTAGTGATGTACAGGGGGTGGGTGGGTAAGGGAGTGGGGGAAAATAACTAGGGCAGTGGTGTACAATGTATTGTAGATTTAATGAGATCAGGTGCCCCATCGGTGTAACTGCCTACATCTGTCTGTCAGTCTGGTGTTTACTTAAGTCATATATCAAGCCATTAGTACAAATCTGCGACTCATCTACTCTTTTTCAAGGGGATAAGTTTTCTGACTTCAAAAACATTTCACTTTCAAAGACTTCATACATCACTTGGTTATTTCTGTTGTTCAAGCCCTCCCTTGCTTGTGAAGCTTCAAGTTTCACAAAATTAAATACATCATTTCACTCATCACTGATGTATGTCCAGACTTTTTTTCTATGTTTGGCAAGTGTTAGAATTCGAAACAGTGTTAAAAACTACACATCTAGCAGACATTGTCTGGAACACTATAGCCACCATGTAACACACAAGCCTCAGTATAACGAGCATATATCTACAAATAACATTAGATTTAAATGTGAAGCAGTATGTTAAGGGATTCAATAGAAAGTCCTTGTAAATCAAGACACGACAGAAAATCAGATTTCTGATTTTTCTTCAGAAGTCTATTTTTAAGCAGCATGGTGCTGGATTCTTTGGCAGGCCAGACTGTTAAGCAATCAGTTTCTTCTATCATATCTTTGATAAAGAGACATTGTAGCTGTTGTTACAGTCTGCCTAGATACAGAAATGGGTACCACAGTACTTAAGGGAGCTATAGCTATTGAGATCTTCAACAAGGCATTTGACTATTACTTACAAATAACTGACGATACAAAATATTTATCACAGATTCAAGCAATATTGTCCTTTCTTAAAGAAACTTTTTACTCAACAAAAACCAGAGAGAAACATTTTGGAAAGACCATGATAAGAAATCAGATAATGTGCTAGTGCAGTCATTGAAATTTTTAGATCTACTAAACTCTTCCCATTTAACTATCCACATACTGTAAAGGTTTTTTTGGCGATTCAACTCACTGTTTTACTTTCGAAGGTTTGAAGCATTGACAATGTATTTTTTCAGTTAAGTCATGATGCAGAATATCATTTTTCAGTCAATTTGATTTCTATGTTTTTTTTAAATGTTTTAAATATTCCATCTCCAAAACGGTGAAAAAACAGAATTCTTCAAAAATAATCACTTTAATTGCAGTATGTTATGAACACCATAGTCATACATTTTACCATTCCCTCGCAAAAATTGGAAAACTCTATACAATAACTCAATTTCCATTGATTCTCATTGGTGTATAAATTACAAAACATGATATATTCATTATTCATTTCATATTTTCTGTTATTCAACAATTTCCATCAAGAAAATTTTACGTTTTGTTCCTCAGAAACTGAGACAAATGGTTTGAGTTTGCATTACAGTGTTAGGGACCTTTACCTCTGTCATTAAATATAATCCCATTTCGTCGTCTAACGCAGACAGTACAATGTATAAGTCAACGGAAAATCTTATTGATTATACAAGATAGGAAGGATAGAATTTAAAATGTTCAAAATAACGACCGAAATACTTCGGAATTCAATCAAGAAACCAATGCGTTAGGACTAAGTGAGCAGAGCCATTCATTTTGTTTTACAAGGCCAATTCGAAACATTTATGGAAATACCATGTTTCCATTATTTTTCAAAATTCTATATACTTTGACTATGATCGATTTCGAAACTGTCTATTAGTGCACAACTGTAAGAATCTAAAGCAAAAGAACGCCAATAAAAAACTTGTCTTTTTAATCGCATTTAAATTTGACATATAACAAGTGTGTCTTCTAAATACCTTGCGTGCAACTGTCAGAACTTTTTCACCAATCCAATTTTCATTTCATGTTCTTGAAAATGTTTTCACTTTTGTTTCCTGCTGAGTCGGAGCTGATTCTGGAAATGGATTCAAGCTAAATACAGTTATCAAACGTCACTGAGTGTTAGAATACGATTAAAACTTAAGTTTTTAAATTCTAAAATACTAGAAACTTTCAAGAAACAATTTTTCTTTTCCGAGTGTATGTGAAATTGTACTTTAAAGAGGTGTTCAAATTTCGAAACCATTCCGATACCTCCTAAATAAGAAATCTATGATGTTCCAGTGTGATTTGTCCCAGTGTGTTTAATATCCCAGTGTGCTAATATTCCAGTGTGTATGTGAAGGCCTGCTATTCACTACCACTAAAGTCACTGACAATTGGCTTCTGTTTTCTCTGTTTGTTGTTTTAATTCCCTGCAATTTTCTATCTGGCACTTTAATTTCTCTGAAATTTTCTGTTTGTCACTTTTATTTTTATGCAATTTCCTATTTGTCATCTTAATTCTCTGTGATTTCCTTTTTGTGACTTTAGTTTTATGTGACTTTCTCTTCATCACTTTAATTTTCTGATATTTCTTTTTTGTCACTTAAAATTTCTGCAATTTTCTGTTTGTTACTTAAATTTTCTCATATTTCTCTTTGTCACTTTTACTTTTTTCTGAAACATCTGATTTTAGTTTTATGTCTAAACTTTTCGTTGTTTGTCCCTCTTTATTTTCCATTTGCTGTTTCTAGTATTCTACTTTCTCTGTTAGTCTGTCCTAGCATTCTTTTATTTCTTGGGGTATTTTTTTGTAACATTTGGTTCTCTTTCTCAGTTTACTCGGTGTTGGTGATAGCTCATTTGGTTACACCAGTGATCTGTGTAGCTTCAGATTGTGTTCCTCAGTAACCTGCTGACAGATAGACCTATATATTCTCACAACGTGTTCTTGCTGCGACAAGACATGCCTTGACATTAAAGACACTCTACCTTAATTGATTGTGATAGCATGCGACAGGACTCCTGTATGTTGTTCAGTGAGGTAGCCACCACCTACTACAAGGAAGCCAAACTTCAAAAAAAAATATCAGTTTACACATTTTTTTGTGGGTTTGTTTTTAATTTTTTATTTCTATGTAATTTTTTTCCCTCTCTCTGTATGTATATTTTGTTCTATGTTGTTTTTTATATCATGTAATGTTACACATATTTATCTTTCATTTCTGACTTGTAGGTGGAGTCTAATTATTCAAGAGCCTTGGTATAGACATACTTAAAACCAAAGATCTGACATTACAAATGCTTTTACAGTTGTGCATAACATCAATACATCCATACATATAAACACTGTGTAACAGGGATTAAAATCATTTTTATGTAAACCAATGTACTTTTAACAAATCTGAATTGCAAAGCTGTATTAATCATATGTAAATATTCATAGATTGTATCAATTATCAAACTTTAAGACTAAGTCTTGTCATTCAGAGAAAGCAATTAACAAAATATCAGAATTTTGTAGCCTCATCATTTATGTGTAAAATATGAATTGACAAGAAATCAGCTGCCTTATATTCAATATTTTGTGTGCATAGACCAAAATCTGGAGACATTCAGCCAGTTTTAGAACAGTTATTGCACAGAAACCAATTAGCTGCTGATATCAGAATATAGCTGCTAATTAATTATGCATAAATACGTCATGCATTATGTTGGTGATTAAACTAGTGAGAGACTTGCATATCATATCTGGCTAGAAGTTAACTATTTTTAGGGCAGTTATTACACAAGGAAATAAACAACGTAAGACAGACACACCCAAACTGATGTAACATTTGGGTGTAACATGTTCAACCATCATCAGTAAACCTTGGGTGTAACATGTTCAACCATCATCAGTAAACCTTGGGTGTAACATGTTCAACCATCATCAGTAAACCTTGGGTGAAACATGTTCAACCATCATCAGTAAACCTTGGGTGTAACATGTTCAACCATCATCAGTAAACCTTGGGTGTAACATGTTCAACCAATCATCAGTAAACCTTGGGTGAAACATGTTCAACCATCATCAGTAAA